CCTTATATACCTTTCTGCTTCCTGCCATCACTTCCTGGGATTAAAGGCGTGAGTCACTATGCCTGGCTGTTTCCAGTGTGGCTTTGAACTCACAGAGATCTAGATAGATCTCTGCCTCCCAAATGACAGGATTAAAGGTGTGTGTGTGTGTGTGTGTGTGTGTGTGTGTGTGTGCGCGCGCGCGCGCGCGCGCACCACCATTTTCTGGCCTCTAAGTCTATCTAGTGGCTGTTCTGTCCTCTGACCCCAGATAAATTTATTAGGGTGCACAATATATTGGGGAATACAGTATCACCACAGATATGTTCATTAGGGAGCTGCTCTGATGATGTAAGGAGCTGCTCTGATGATGTGAGGAGCTGGTCTGTTGATGGAGGGAGCTGAGCAGATACACTCGGCTGCTGCTGGTGCCCACTGGCAGATCTCAGCATCCTTCTGCAGCCACTTGGCATTGTTTCCTCTGTCATCTGAAGGCACTTTCTTTACTTTTCAGGACATTCCATATCGATTTTCTCCTGTTCTAGCTGCCTGTTCCTTACAGATCTTTTCACTGGGTTCTCTTCTTGGTCTTCAAGCTCAGGATTTAGCCTTGTAAATTAACTTCCTGGTTGATCTTACCTACACTCATAGTTTTAAAGTAATATCTATGCTACAAAATTTTTTACAGTTATTGAAAAGGGTGAGTTACTATGCTCCAGGGAAGTCACTATAAGGCTCTGTTAGTAACTAATATAAGAAAAAGATATCTTTCATATATGAATTCACTTTTGTAAACCAGAATGATGACAGCCAAAACCCACTGTCTTAGTTTCTTTACTATTGCTGCGACAAAACACCATGACCAAGGCAACGTATGAAAGAAAACATTTAATTTGGGGGCTCGTCATTCCAGAGGCTGAGTCCATGATCATCATGACAGGGAGCATGGCAGACACAGTACTGGGAGCAGTGGCTGAGAGCTCACATCTGATCCACAGCATGAGGCGGGGAGGGGGGGGGGTAAGGGGAGAGAGGGAAGAGAAAGACACTGGGCCTGGCATGGGTTTTTAAAACCTCAAAGTCCACCCGCAGTTGACATACCTCCTCCAGCAAGGCCACACCTCCTAATCCTCAAACACCACCTACTGGTCACTAAGCATTCAAATATGAGAGTCTATGGGGGCATTCTGATTTAAACCACAATACCAATTATGTCTATGTTTATATGCATGTATATATAAGTCAGCATATGATCCCATGTCCATCTGTACATGTCAGGGCAGACCTGCAGCACCCAAGGATCTTCAAGCCAGATCCTAGGGGCTTTATTGCAGAAAGAATTTCAATGAGCAAGCATATGAAGAAGAGTTGGAGTTTATTGAAGACACTTTTAGCATGGACCTTAAGCACCAGGGTTAAGAGAAAGAGAGGCACTCAGAGAAAAAATGAGACATATCCAAGTTTGGGTATGGGCTTCCGCAGGGAGCGCCCCGCTTCACTGTCTTTATAGTGAGCTCACACATAATGATCCCATGGCTTTCCAAGTCACAGCTTTTCAAGGGTATAATTTACAACCAAGTTCAGTGATTAAGCAAAGCTTGAAATTTAAATAAAATTTAAAACTAAGTAAAGATGTTTAAGCAAGCTCACTTATTTCTTGCATCAAGAATTTCTGGTGGAGGCTGGAGAGATGGCTCAGAGGTTAAGAGCACTGACTGCTCTTCCAGAGGTCCTGAGTTCAATTCCCAGCAACCACATGGTGGCTCACAACCATCTGTAATGAGACCTGGCGCCCTCTTCTGTGTATATAATAAAGAAATCTTTTAAAAAAAAAAAAAAAAAGAATTTCTGGTGTAGCTGAAATTGTAAGACAGCTTTTTTTTATGTTGTTTAAGGTGGCTTTGTGTGTATAGATTTAGGGATGAGAGGGGAGTTTGAATGTGGAGAACTTCTGGCCCTAAGCCGTTGTTGTCTTTAACATCCTTGTTGGAGGTGTCTTTGGGAAAACATGACTGATCTCTGCAGGCAAAAGTCCCTGTTCCCTCTTAGTTTTCTTTTTACTCTGCCTCATATAGATGTGGAACAAAATAGGTAGGAGCAGCAGCATGGGCTGGCAGGGAGGAAGACCGTGGAGGAGGGTGACGGTGACCATGAGATACAGAGGCAGGGAGAGATGTCCAGGATGCCAGTGTGTGCACGGATTTTCCTAACATGATGCAAAGATCAACTTTCTTCACACTTTCAATCAAACGGCCTTAGAGTTGTTTAAAATAGCATGCATGTGGGGTTGGAGAGCCGGCTCAGCGGTTAAGAGCACTGGCAGCTCTTGAGGAGGACCCGGGTTCAATTCCACATCAGGCAGCTCAGAATCACCTGGTACCCTCTTCTGGCCTCTTCAGTCACTAGCTTATGTGACATACATTCACAAACACATCAATTAAAAAAACAAAACAGCACATATGAATGCTCAGAAAAAGCAACGGGTGTGTGTTAATGTCAGCATAATCCCAATAGTGACGTCTACCTTCCCATTCTTCCTGAGACCATAAATGGACCCTTATGGTTCACTGGGCCCTAAGATGAAATTACTGTACAGATTTTTCTCTTACGGTCTTATTTTAACTATGGAAGCAGCATCTGGTCAGGAGATTCCCCTTTGCCGCATTTCAAGTCACCCCGGTGTCCTTTTTAGCAGGTAACACCAACTGGGACTCCTATGCCACCACAATGAAGACAGCGTTCACACCTAAAACGGGAGTGGTGCCCAGTTTAATACGGTAGGTGTCTGCTCACGTCACACCGCCAGACCCATAGCAGCCTGACTTCGTCTTTTATTGATCAGGATCCAAAACAAGTCGGCATAGGAACTGGCGACACTGGTAGAGTAGGGTCTACCGTCTACACCGCCATCCTCTGGGCATCCTGAGAATCCACCCTTCAGAATTCAACCAGACTTTCCATAAGGAGATCAGAAAAATCCCCACTTGTTCTTCCCGATGTCACTGCGCAGGGCGGGTTGCTGTAG